GGGGCTTATTGGAACAATTACCATCAAAAATATTTATAGAAAAGATACAGAGAGGTAGCCTTACGGCGATTGGAAAGTGAGTGGAGATGAGCAGCCAGATGATGACCAATAATATTGCAGATTCTTCTTTTATCAAGAAGCTCAAGTTAAAGAGCAGGGGAACTAGATCGTATGCGGCAGAAATATTTTAAGCATGGATGAATGGTAGACATAGGTATGGAAGGTAGATTCTGGAGAGAAAAATTGTCTCGCTCGGCACACTGAAACGACTTTCTTAGCATCTGACCTAGCAATGGATTCAATATAGTCTTTCCACTTCATGTAAGCTGAGAACGTGAGCCTGAGAAGGCGCAACGAGTCTGGAGGTTAGCATCAGCCATGCTGATGGAAGGCAGAGAGAGATCTCTCAGATGATTAATGGAGAGAAGTTTAAATTTGGAGGCGTTAAAATTAACAAGCCATTCGTTGCCCCAGTTAACGACAGACTTGGACATCGGCTGTCATATTGACCTTGTCGGACTGATAAGCCTTACTATCGAGGCAGGAATAAATTGTTGTGTCATCAGTGTAGATACCATGCTGAGAGCTGATATTATCAGGAAGGTCATTAATGAAAATTATAAACAGAGTAGGTCTAAGAATCGAGCCCTGGGGGTCACCCGTGTTAGAACGAAAAAATCTAAACAAGTGGCCTTCAGGATAATTATCATTTCACGATTTGATAAGAATGTCTGGATCAATTCAAAAAAAGTGCCAGGAGACACCGTAACTTTTCAGCTTGTCGAGAAGATCTGCATTCCAGACATTATCAAAGATGCCAATGTTACAGGCCAGGCTTCAACATTTTTATCGAGAGCATGATAAATTCTTTTCGTAATTATTGTCAGTACATCAGCAGTTGACCTGGAGAAACGAAAGCCATATTGCTTGTCTGAGAAAAGGCCCCGCGATGAGAGATGATGAACCAATTCAACATTGATTAAAACCATTAGGAGTTCCCCAAAAGAGGTAGAAGGCTATTAATCTGATAGTTGGAAGGGTCGAATGACTCATCAGAGTTCTTAAAAGGAATCATCATCTGTTGTTCAACAGATGATGATTCCTAGTAGGCAGGAAAGAAGGAGACAGCGAGGCATTTACTATACAGTTTAGAGAGAACAGGAGCCAGTTCGGGAGCACACTTCTTCATGAGTATTACGGGGATACCATCGGGTCCACATCCTTTGTGGGGATCTAGATTAGAGATGATGGGAGAAACCATGGAAGTGATTATATGCATATCATTCAACAGGAACTCATTTCTAGGCGGTTAGTTAAACAGGGATATGGCGGATGAATCAAGAATAGAGTTTAAAGGGCAAATCATTCAGCTTTATCAACAGGGGATGATAACACCTTATATTGAGGGGGGGGGGAAATAGAGACCTTACACTGATTTGATGCCCTATTACAGAGCCACCAGTAATCACGAGAACCAAAGTTGTTAAAGGCGACGCGGTGTCTGATTCTCTTGGGAAACAGGGATTTTGCTCCTTCGAGGACTCGCTTACATTTATTGTGAGCAGCAACGAATAAGCGCTTGTTGTGACGAGAGCCGTCACACTGGTATAGCCGGAAATAGTGGTTCCTGTGTGCTACAGCGGCCGAGCAAGCTGGCGTGAACCATGAAGAGGAGTAAGGTTTTCCCTGGTATTTCCGGGAGGGAATAAAAGCGTTCCTGGCGACTTTGACATCAGAAGAAACCCCAGTGACGCAATTTTCAATTGGAAGGTTAAAGATATCAGTCTGAAGGAAGTCACGAAGGAAATCCCGGAGTAAGTTCCAATCAAAATGCTGGTAACGGAAAGCGGTCTTGTGGATAGGGTGTTCCTGTTTAAAAGATAATTGGAACGAAATATCAATAGCTACCACAAAGTGGTCAGAATTATCAAGAGGGCCGTGTTAAGAAGCTCGGTAATAGAGAGGAGAGTGGGGTAAGAATTAAATCAAGTAGAGATTCCCGTTGCTCGGTTTTGCTAGGGAAACGCGTAGGGACGTCCATGATTTGAGTAAGGGATTGGGCAATGGAAAAATTTAATGTCTGAACTCCGGCAACAACAATACCTTTATAATGTTTAAGGCAGGTGTCGAGGCGCGTATAAAAGTCACCGAAGACAAAGATGTTCGTAGATGGATAGACAGAAAGTGCTTTTTTTATACAGTCAGTTCTTATGACTAATATATTGCAGTCTTTGGAAAAGTGGGAGCGATAGAAGAAAAAGTCATAGCTGACAGAGATTAGTAGCGAAAGACAGAAGCCCATAAAGGAGTAGCCTGGGGCTTCAAGAGACAATTTCATGGTCATCGGAAGATTGTCCCGGATGTAAACACTTAGGCCATTCCTGTGAATGCTGGAATATTTTAGGCAAAAGGGATGATAATCTGAAACCAAGAATTTCTTATTCCTGATAATTCTCTTCTATTTTCCAGGTCAGTCTTTCTTATTTTACAAATCAGTCTTATATCGGGGTGGGGTGGAGGGGTGTTGTAAGCTGTTCATAATATCGATACAGTTTAAAATCTATCCCTGAATTTTTACATATTTTTTCACTAACTGGATGGTGTAAAAATAGACGACAGGAGGAAAGAAAGACAGAAAGAAAGAAAGATAGATAGATAGAACGAAAGAAAGTAGACAGAAAGAAAGAAAGACAGGAGGAAAGAAAGACAGAAAGAAAGAGAGAAAGAGAGAAAGAGAGAAAGACAGAGAGAAAGAAAGACAGATAGAACGAAAGAAAGTAGACAGAAAGAAAGAAAAACAGAAAGAAAAAAAGAAAGAAAGAAAAGAGGAGAAAAATATTTCAAAATTAAATTTGGAGAAAAACAGAAAAAAAAGAAAAACATAAAATGACAGAAAAAGAAAGAAAAATATAAAAACAAAAAGAAAAGAAATAGAAAAACAGAAAAAGAAAAGACATGACTTTAGGAGGAAAAGAAAAAATTTAGAAAAACGTAAAAGACAGATAAATAGAACGAAAGAAAGTGAGACAGAAAGAAAGAAAGACAGGAGGAAAGAAAGACAGAAAGAAAAAAAAAGAAAAAAGAAAGAAAATAGGATTAAAAAACACAGGAGGAAAGACAGAAAGAAAAGAAAGAAAAGAAAAGACAGATAAACTAAAAATAAAGAAAAGAACAGAAAGAAAAAAAAACAGAAAGAAACAAAAGACAAAATAAAGAGTTAAACATAGACAGAAATATAGTTCAGTAAGAAAGTGAGAAGACAGAAGGAAAGAAAGAAAATAAAGGAAGGCAGACAAAAAGAATAGAATGGAAACGAAAACACAAAAAAAAAGAAAAAAAAAAAAAAACAAAGAAAGAAAGAAAAACAGAAATAAATAAAGATTAACAAACAGAAAGAAAAAGCCAAATTGTGATCTATTATACAATCTATCTATAGCAGAAGGATGCTTCAAATACCATATAATGAAGATGATGAAGTTTTAAGGAAAATAAGAACAGTAAGGTAACGTATAGTTACAATCAGAAAGAGCTGAAATCCGAAAGCTCATCGAAATAGCAAAAGATGCTTTTCAGAAAGAAAGCAAGCTATTAATCATTTAATGGTCATCATTTCTGAGTGGGATTATTAATGTGGTATATATATCATCTTATAATTAATGTCGGATTTTTATTCTAATTTTATAATTAATTAAGACTTTTTAATTTTTATAATTAATTACGGATTTTTATTTTTATAATTAATATCAAATTTTTATTTTTATAATTAATGTTGTAGTTTTTATTTTAATTTTTATAAGTAATATTTTTATTTTAATTTTAATAATTAATGTCATAGTTTTTATTTTAATTTTTATAATTGGCATCGGATTTTTATTTTAATATTTACAATTAGTGTCGTATTTATATCTTAATATTTATAATTAATATGGGATTATACAGTGGTCAGAAATGGATTAATTTCGTAGGAAATAAAGAAGAATTCTCACCTACTATGTAATATCTAATCTCGGATATGACAGTGAAATTCGGACAATCTCTTCATAGATGAGTTAGAGATTTGAAGCGACGGAGAGGGGGTCCATAATACCGATGCTGAGGCTATCATAGACAGAACCCGTGGGTATCGAAGAAGACTTAAGTAAAAATGTCAAAAAAAAAAAAATCAAAAAAAAATCATGAAACAACGAACGACACAGTTGACATTTCTGGGACACATAATGAGAAAAGATGGTATAGAGAATTTAACTCCCACAGGGAAAACAGCGAGTAACTGATTTAATTTTGCGTAACAGTGACAAAGAGAAATGGCCAAGAGTCATATGCCACTTCGAACAACAAAAGACAGGACGCTATGAAGAGCCATGACCGCTAACGTCGATCGAGTATAAAATAAAAATAATTTCTTTGAACGAAGACCGCTTTCGGAATGAAATTGTGATTTTCTAAGCGTAGCTTAAATGTAGCACAAGGCTGAATGTATGAGGCACCCAGTGAGGATCGACTTCACTAGTCAGTGTTAATTCTTCAAGAGAAAGACAAGCTTGTTAACCATTACACGATGTCGAGGTGCCCCTTTCTTAATGTAATGAATGACTTTTTGCTAAGACTGAATAAAAATCTAGAGATCAAGTTTTGAACACAGAACTTCCAGTTTTAATTGTTTTTATTCTATCAACTGAGCCTTAGACTTCACACCACAGTTCAAATAACGCATGACCTTTTTTTCTTCTCGTCAAGTCAGAATATCGACTTAATGCACGAGCATAATCGACAGCAAATAGAATAAAAATAAAAAAAAGCCGCCAACTCTGCAGTAGAGATGGACATCGCCATTTTTTTTGCAGACGATACTTTAAATAACAATCCATTTATTCAGTCATTCACTATTTCGACTTGTAAGAAATATCAGGGCGCCATTGTTTTTTCGCTCTTTAACGACGTTTGTAAATTGTGCGATAATACAAACGACAATGATTGAAAGAATGGCGCAAGATAGTCAGATGTTGCTTAGTTTAGATTCTTTTCTTTCATTTAATTTAAAAATTCGATTTATTAGCAGAATCTTCTACATTGCAATTTCTTTAACCTCTTCTTTCTTTCTTTTCTTTTCTTTCTTTTCTTTCTTTCCTTCTTTAACCCTTCAAAATTTTTTTCTTTCTTTCTTTCTTTCTTTCTTTCTTTTTTCTTTCTTTAGATTTTTTCATTTCTTTTCTTTCCATTCCGTCATTTTTTTCTACTCTTCCTTTAGTTTTCATTTTTTCCTTCAACTTTTTTCTTTACTTTATCTACCTTCATTTTCTTTCTTTCTTTCATTCTTTTTTAACCTTTTTTTTCTTTTAGTTCTTTCTTTAACCTTTCCTTTCTTTCTTTCTTTCTTTCTTTCTTTCTTTCTTTCTTTTCTTTTTTTTTCTTTCTTTCTTTTGATAAAAAATTTCTTTCTTTCTTTCTTTTCTTTCTTTTTTCTTTTCTTTCTTTTCTTCTTTCTTTTAATGCTCTCCTTTCTTTCTTTCTTTTCTTTTTTTCTTTCTTTCTTTCTTTCTTTTCTTTCTTTCTTTTCTTTCTTTCTTTCTTTCTTTCTTTTCTTTTTCTTTTCTTTTTTTTTTTTTTTTTCTTTCTTTCTTTTTAACCTTCTCCTTTCTTTCTTTTTTTTTTCTTTTAACCTTTTCTTTTTTTTCTTTCTTTCATTCTTTTATCCTCTCCTTTCTTTCTTTTGTCTTTCTTTAACCTTCCTTTCCTTTCTTTCTTTCTTTCTCTTTTTCTTTCTTTCTTTCTTTCTTTCTTTTCTTTTTTTCCTCTCCTTTTTTTTCTTTCTTTCTTTCTTTCTTTCTTTTCTTTCTTTCTTTCTTTCTTTTTCTTTCTTTCTTTTAATCTTTTTTTTTTTTTCTTTTTTAACCTCTTTTCTTTCATTCTTTTATTCTTTCTTTCTTTCTTTTTTCTTTCTTTAA